TTACAACCCTTCATTTGGCCATCATTCGAAGTTGCATCAGTACTGAAAAAAGTGACTTACACCCGGTCCTCGCACTTAACGACCCTTGCACAATCCCCACTGCACCTGAGCAAAACTCAAGCATTTGGCCACAGGCATATATTTAGCAATGGTTGAAGCTTCCTGGGAAAAGAACCATTTCTGTAAATCTAAAAAAAAAAAACCCAAGGTTTGTTTTTCCTTATAAACCAGACAGAGGAGTATTATTTGCCCAGGATTATATGTGTTATAAATAGTCGATTCCTGAGGACAGCAAAATCTAGGCTTACAAAAAAAATCAACCTTTTTTTGCTTTAAGTTGTGTCCTTTGGGAGAAAGGAACATTCTTCTTGAATTTGACAATAAAGGGACTTCCCAGCCGATCCCAGGATTCATGCATGACATTTGAGAGGACCAGAATATTTTTCAAGCCGACATCTGTATGTCTGCCTCTCTCTCTCTGTCTCTCTCCACCCAAAGCAAACAGCTGCTCTTCCAGAGGGCTGGAAATCAACGTGGCTGTTCTCTCTCATTGGAAGCCTGTCTGCTTTGCTCCCCCTTCCCCTCCTTTAAAAAGCAAAACAAAACAAAACACAGCGGCTAAAAAGCCAGCCCACAGCCGAATGCCCCACGGAGCTCTCTCAGCCCCTGTGCAGCGTAGTGGAAGGGCTCCCCACCAGGAACCAAAGAGAGGCTGCCTCGTGCTCGATTGACAGATTTACAGATTCACAAGAGTTGGAAGGGACCTTGTAGGTCATCTAGTCCAAACCCCTGCATGAGCAGGAGACCCTACACCATTTCGGGCCAGTGGCAGAAGTGGGCTGCTAGGGGTTCGGCAGGGTTTGGGGGAGCCTCTAGCTAAGATTCTGCGCAGTCTGGAGAACCCCGAAATTCCATTCCTGGCTGGCCCGGCCCGGCCCTCCCAGGAGCCCCCACACAACCCGTTTTGGATGTAGGTAAGTGCAGGGCGCATGCAGAGGCTCAGGGAGGGGGAAAAACGGGCCTCCCGGAAGTTCAGGAAGGCCGGAAATGGGCCTGTTTCTGACTTCCAGAGAGCCTCCGGAGCCCAGGGAGGCCGTTTTTGCCCTCCCGGAAGCTCGAGGAAAGCCTCCGGAGTCCGGGGAGGGCAAAAACGCCCCCCCCCGACCATGGTGCAGGAGGCCGGCTAGGCCACGCCTACCATGGCCACGCCCAACCAGCAACTGGGCAGAGAACCCCTCGCTAAAATTTTTGAAGCTTAGCCCTGGCCGGCAGTGCACATGGACTCTTCTTCTTGAAGGTCCCAAGGGATGGCGCTCCCACAACTTCCGAAGGCCACTTCTGTTCCACGGGTTGATTGTTCTCACCATCATAAAATGTCTCCTTATTTCCAGGTTGAATCTCTCCTTGATCAGTTTCCATCCATTATTCCTTGTCTGGCCTTCGGGTGCTTTGGAGAATAGCTTGACCCCTTCCTCCTCTCTGTGGCAGCCCCTCAAATATTGGAAGGCCGCTCTCCTGTCTCCCCTGGTCCTTCATTAGACTCCCTTTTTATTGCATTTGTGCTTTCCCCCCCTGAAGTCTATCCTTTCGTGGATGGATTCTTCTGCTGGAGCAGGAATTCCTCTCTGCCGAAGAACCGGCAAAGAAGATTTTTGAATTCTGTTCGCCTTCTCCTGTTTGGTGTTTAAGCGAAACATAGCCAAGGGGAGCCTCTTCCAAGGAACTCACTCAGTCAGGCATGGCTGGGAAAGGCTGTTGAAACTGCAAACTCCTTGGCAACCTCCTCGGCAAAATCAACTTTGCCTGCCTGCCACCCACCAAATCCTAGAAGTCATTCTCATTTCAGTTTCCCCCAGAGATAGGACAACGTGCCCACCGTTGTCTCTTGCCAAAACACGAATTAAGAAAGAATTAAGAATTAGGAAAGCTATTTTTTTTTCAGGGTTTGTTTTTTTAAAAAACAAAAAACAAACACCAAATCTGAACAGCGACGCCCACCGGAGCTGTTCTTTTAATCGGCTGCTGGTAAGAAGCAGATGGAGAGCAGCGTGACACTTTGCTGTATTTAAAAAGTAACAGCCTCCTGGTCCTATATCCAGCTTTTTTCTGCTACGGAGCCCTTGAAGAATTGAGAGTATCAGGGTAAGCTTGCAATTCTGTTCCCGCATCGGTGAGAGGAAGAGAGAAGGAGGAATGGAACGAGGGGAAAGCTAGAAAGGAGAGGAAAATAGGGGGAGCTAGAGAAAAGGACAGGGACACGGTGGCTCAGTGGCTAAGACTCTGAGCTTGTCGATCAGAAAGTTCGGCAGTCCAACGGTTCGAATCCCTAGCGCCATGTCACGGAGTGAGCTCCCATTACTTGTCCCAGCTTCTGCCAATCTAGCAGTTCGAAAGCACGTTAAAAATGCAAGTAGAAAAATAGGGACCACCTTGGTGGGAAGGGAACAGCGTTCTTTGCGCCTTTGACGTCTAGCCAAATGACCACGGAGACATCTTTGGACAGTGCTTTGCTCTTTGGCTTTGTAACAGAGATGAGCACCTATACCGATATGGGAGGGGAACCTTTAGCTTAAAGAAAAGGAGGAAGAGGAATGGAAAGAAAGGAGTGCGGGAACTCTCAAAAGTTCTAATAAAAATGGAAACACCGCGTCCCATTCAGGTGCTTCTTGGGTAGCTTCAAAGTTCTGAATTTTGTTAAGGGGCTGGATGAGAGCCACGAGCTCAGGAAATTGAGTAAGCAGAGGACAGGAGTTTTCTGACCATGAATGGTGCTTGGTGCTGGTTTCTGGTGGACCAAGATAGTGGAACAAAGAAGGCTGATGGCTGTGTCTTGAGAAGGAGATAAGAGCTTTTCCCTGGGGGCTCTTGACAAATAAGAAATCACTCAGCAGGTTTGTCTGGGTAGGTTTGCATTTTAATAAGTCTGGGAATTACCACAGTCTGAAGGGCTTGGAGAAATCTTGGAAAGAGCTTTGAACGAACAAGTCATTTGTTGCTAAGCTGACTTTCCCAAGAAGCAGGCAGTCTAAGCTAATCTGAAAGAATATCAGAAATTCTTGTTCCTTCATTTCTTTGCCGTTTGCCTCTCCAATGATCAAACTGGTCTTTCGTCATTATTATCGCTGCTTTTGTGACTCTGGTTATCCTTAATATCACTTGTATTCTCTTGCTTTTCTGGCCTTAGGACATTGAAGGTGTAAAAATGGCATGGGTGAAGGGTTAATTTATTTTACTCATTTATTAAATTTATATGCCAGTTACCTCACTGCCCAAAGTGGCTCTTAATTGTAGAAATCATTGTAGAATCATAGAAATCATTGTAGAATCATAGAAATCATTGTAGAATCTTAAAAATCATTGCTTAGGATGATTCAAGGCAATATTCCTTTCCTCTTTGCTTCACAAATCATTTGAAAGCAAGGACACGATAATTTTTCAGCAAGAGCGTCTTTTTAAATAGATGTTTAATTAAATAGTAACACAGAAAGAACAAAACACACAGAAAATTAAGAGACAAAGACTCGCAAGGAAAAAACAATGCATCAAAGTACTTTTTAAAAAGTGGGGAAAGGCAAGAATATTATTAAGAGCAACTTAATAAAGAAATTGGAATTGGCAAGCTAAATACACGGAGAGTGGAAAAAATGATTAAGGGTTTGGCGATTCCGTCATAAGGAGAAGATTGGTTGATATTTAGCCAAAAATCTGATGGTTTGAATGCCTTTAATGAGCTGCCAGACAGAGGATGGAGCAAATATATTTTGTGTTCCTCCAAAGGATAAAACCTGAATCAACAAGTTTACATTTCAATCCAAAGATTCCAGCTAAATATTGAGAAGAATTATGATGATCCAGATTCTTTTGTCTGCAAGTTTTAAAAATTATACTGGATTGGGGAGATGATTTCAGCCAATTTCCTGTATCGGGAAGGAATTCAATGACCTTTATGGCTATGTTCAATTCTTGCTTTTTTAGAATTTCAGAAGGATTTCACCTTCTGAGATGTTACAGAATTTCTGAAAAAAAGAAAGAAAAAGCCACCAAAACAAAATATCTGTGATAAAAAAAAGATTAAAAATTATCTCTTCCTGGACAGCCAACTGGGTATTTATCTTACAAAATATACATTCCCTAGTGCAACTTAAATTTAATCTAATAAAAATCGTCATTGATTTGTGCATTGTGTTCCTTGAAAGTAGCATGCCGGTGGTCCTTGACTTAGGATGACAATTGAGCCCAAAATTTATGTTGTTAGGTGAGACATTGTTCCTCAAAGCCTCTGACAGTGAAAAGGATGCTGGAGGCGATGTGTGCAAGTGAGGTTAGTCAGTGGATGATATCCCCCACAAAATAAGATCTGGTGCCTTTTTTGGTGGGGAAAAAAAAAATAAGACAGGGTCTTATTTTCGGGAAAACGTGGTAGATGATCATCTGATATGGGTTATTTTTGAAGAAGTGTCCTGTAAAGATCAAGAAGCAAATGTTAGGTTTAAAATGCTCAATTGCAATACTTATCTGGCAATTCTGGCCTGGAAGTATTATTCTGAAAGCTCACTTAAAGTTTCCAAGGATTGGCTTTGTAAATCTTTCTTGAATGTGAATTAATTACCTCCAAATAGCAGAATAACAGGGTTGGAAGGGACCTTTGGGGTCTTCTAATCTAACCCCCTACCATTTCAGACAAATGATTGTCTAATCCCTTAAAAACCTCCAGTGTTGGAATATCCACAACTTCTGGAGACAAGTTGTTCCACTGATTGACTATTCTCACTTTCAGGAAATTTCTTCCTAGTTCCAGGTTGCTTCTCTCCTTGATTAGTGTCCATCCATTATTTCTTGCCCTGCCTTCAGGTGCTTTGGAGAATAGCTTGACTCCTTCTTCTTTGTGGAAGCCCCTGAGATGGTGGAATGCTGCTATCATGTCTCCCCTAGTCCTTCTTTTCATTAGACTAGACATACCCAGTTCCTGCAACTGTTCTTGGTTGATTTTAGCTTTCCATCCCTTAATCATCTTTGGTGCTCTCCTCTGCATTTTTTCTAGAATCTCAACATCAAATAAACCTCAAATACTTTATTTGATGCTTAATTACAACACGGGCATGTATATAAACACACATCTCTGACTTTCGTGATTTAAGCTGTAAAGACCTGTCAGAGTACAACATGAGCAGTTTTGTGCAGACATTGTTTACTTTATTTCATCTCCAATTTGAAGAATTGTGGGGCAGATAATAAGAAGGGTTTCTACAGGCCAAACATCTGGAAGAATGCTCCGGATATAGTGGGTAAGCATGCTAAGAAGGGCCATGTTCAAATCTATATGAAACCATGAAGCTTGATAAGCACTGATTGAACACTGAAGATCTTATCTGGTTGGGCAGTGAAACATCTTGCAAACAAACTGCCAAGCTCAGGAAGCATCAAGCACTCCCTGAGCTACAGAAATTCTCTGCCAACCCCGAAGTTGGCCAAACTGTGACCTAGTTTTTCTTTAGGGAGTTTCTCCTTCTCGCAGCTTCAGGGCTGACCCAGCCTGGAACGAAGGGGCAAGGGAGGGGTGGAAGGCTGTAGGGATAGCTGGGGTGTTATAGCATAAATAAAATTCTTTCCCTTGGGAACCAAGGATGTTGGTGCAGGTATTCGAAAGGTGCAGACTGAGGTCACCTAGCAACTGGACTGTGTGCTGATTGGACCATGTGACTGGAGTGTCAGGGTTCCGGCAATTGCCCTAATTAAATCATGAGCCTCGAGCCAAGCTTCAAAAGAATCCAAAATATTTATTAGGAGCAACATGTCAGCATTGAGCCATATGAAGCCAACTCTGCCTCATGTAATTTACGGTCACCTGTGACCCTATTTCCCCCCCCTCCCCCCGGGTGTGTCATAAATCAGATTCTCCAACCACACGGGATGGATGTCATCAATCACATTCTCCAATGAAGGATTTTACCAGGCAGAAAATCCAGTAGCCTAGGCTACAATCTTTGTAAGATAAGCATGAAATGTAATTCTGGTTTTAATTGCCGTACTGCTCCTTTGGGTTTTCCCCCACACCTGCTTGTGGCAACTCAAAAACAGGCATAGGAGTGCTTTACGAGTTGACATGGAGACTCTGGGGGAAAGTTTTACTTTTCATTGGGTGTAAAACCGGAGGGAACTTAGAGATGTTTTTTTTTTCACCAGGAATATTGGCCATTTGATATGTCCCAATAAAATGTTCTTTGAGGAAATTGCCTGCCTCAGAGTTCTTATTGAATGGGATGCATTACTTAGAAACCTGAGATGTTCTTCTGTTGGGAGACTGTCTCTTGCAGTTTTGTCTACATCTGGAAGAGTACAGATGTGCTCCCTGCTGTTCTTTGGTGCTTTCGGGATGGTGGCATGTTTCAAAGATGGCTCCCTCTTTAATTCAAGTTACTTCGTTGATTTTTCGGAGTCCCCATCTCATTAGCTTGCTACTGCTACAAAATTGGGTAGGAAATTGCAATCTTGGGTTATAAAGAGCTGCATTCTGCTCTTCCATTGACCCACCACATCTAAGCACAGATTGCAGAGTTGCCATCGACTCGGAATCGAACCTGGCTGAAGCCCTGCTTTTGCTGCGTCGTAGTTGCCACACACTCTTAAGACGGAGGGGGAAGAGATGGATAGACTGTCTGCAGACATAACAACAAGCCTTCTCATGGGAACCAAGGTCATCCCAACAGGTGCCAGTAGAAAGAGAGGAGGAGCAGGGTGGATTTGATTTAAATCGACTTGATCGATTTAAATCATGATTTAAATCACTAGTAAAAAGGCTTGATTTAAATCGACTTGTTTTAAAGCATCATTTTTCAAGAGCCACTGTCCTCTCTGTCCCGCAGCAGCTTCTTCTGTGACCCGCTGTTGACTCAGCGATAGTCCCATTCCCTTTAACGGGATGGCTAGTCGTGTGACAGGGACACAACATGTTAAGGGACATGGCGGGCCGCAGGTGAGTGGATGTAACGACTCATTCTTGCTTGCGGTTAGAATCTTTAATATTATCATTTGGAAACAAAATGAAAGTTTGCTATTTAGCTTGCAGAGCTCGGATTCATTGAATGAGTTTACTAAAAATGTAAATATTTGCAGAAAATACAGCCTCATGCGACATAACTAAGCTTCACTGCATGCTAAATAAATTAAATTATTAATGTACCTTAAATAGAAAATCATCTTTAGATAGATTTTTTTTTTTATTCCAAAAGCATCTTATTAAAATAAATTTGATAAAAATAAAAAAACCAAATTGATTTAAATAAAAAAATCCGATTTAAATTTTTAAAAAGCCTGATTTTTAAAAAAATATTTTTTATTGATTTTTGTCCACCCAGGAAAGGAGTGATTGAGGAGCCTGCTTCCTGTTTTAATTGGTCAGTGTGACTTGGGACAACTGAGGAAGGAAACTGTTACTCTTTAAATTACGCTCTTAGCGCGGGAAACTTCAGAGTCGGTTTTCACCAGCTGTGCCGATACGATGCATCCAATAAATGTGTTTTTTGATGGACCTGCCTGTCTTTGGAATTCTGATTTCTTTGGATGCTGTACTCGGAACGCTGACAGTTGCTTTGAGTTTTCAGTTGATTCTAGGAGTCCGTGACGGTTCTCTCTTTTTGGGTCTCCCTCCCCCAGGATGTGGGGCTGTCAGCTGAGGCAGGCACTCTGCAGCGTCCACCATCAACTGAAGAAAAGTTTCGGGATTCTCCCAGCTTCGACCCATTGGCATCACACGGTTCCCACCTCGCCCAGCTGTGCCTGGCAGTTAAATGATGGTCATCTAGGTAAGAACTGGACCTTGAAGGGAACGGCGGGGGTCAAAGGAAGTGGGTGTAGGTAGGAGCATCTCTAGGCATCATTGGGGGGATGGAGTTCTTGCCCTAGGTGCCAGCCGCCTGCTCGTGCTCCTTTCCAAAGGCCTACATTCCGCAGTGAATGAGCTGTGGTGGCGCAGTGGTTAGAGTGCAGTACTGCAGGCTACTTCTGCTGACTGCCGACTGACTGCAATTTGGCAGTTCGAATCCCACCAGGCTCAAGGTTGACTCAGCCTTCCATCCTTCCGAGGTGGATAAAATGAGAGGGTTAAGGTTAGGGGCAAGAGGCCAACTCTGTAAACCGCCTAGAGAGGACTGTGAAGCACTGTGAAGTGGTATATAAGTCTTAAGTGCGATTGCTACATTCTGTTCCTTCCCCTTCCTGGTCTTCCTGGCCTGCTCTTGAATGTTGTTATGCATTCCACGCTCACGGTCCATCCACATGTGCATTCCAGCCTTATCGGGGGAGGGGAAAAGAGAGGAGAGGGGACAGGAGGGGAGGATGAGAGGAGAGGAGGGAGGGAGGGAAGGAGGGAGGGGGGGAAGGAAGGAAGGAAGGAAGGAAGGAAGGAAGGAAGGAAGGAAGGAAGGAAGGAAGGAAGGAAGGAAGGAAGGAAATAAATGACAGAGAGAGATAGAAAGAAGACAGGGAGGAAGGAAGGAAGAAAGGAAGGAAATGAGAGAGAGATAGAAGACAGGAAGGGAGGGAGGGAGGGAGGGAAGGAAGGAAGGAAGGAAGGAAGGAAGGAAGGAAATGAGAGAGAGACACAAAGAAGACAGGAAGGAAGGAAGGAAGGAAGGAAATGAGAGGGAGAGATAGAAAGAAGACAGGAAGGAAGAAAGGAAGGAAGGAAATGAGAGAGATAGAAAGAAGACAGGAAGGACGGAAGAAAGGAAGGAAGGAAGGAAGGAAGGAAGGAAGGAAGGAAGGAAGGAAGGAAGGAAATGAGAGAGAGAGATAGAAGACAGGAAGGGAGGGAGGGAAGGAAGGAAGGAAGGAAGGAAGGGTCCTACAAACCTTCCATTACTTTTCTCATTACATCCCTTTCATGCAAATGATGCCATCTTGGCTTTATAAATACCCACACTTAAGTTTCAGGGAGATGTTTAAGCAGCTTGTTCAGTAGACAGGCAATGGGAAAGCTTATAAAAGAGATTAAGAAATTGGGCTGAGTCACAAGTTATACACAGAGCAGCTCCAATGTTTTTTTTCAGGGTTTCTGAAGGATCTTCCTATCAAAGGCAGGATTAGACCAGCTCCCTGTCTGTTAACCTTTCAGAGCAGGCAAAAACATTTTTTATATAATCACACATTTGCTACCCAAGCAGGTTTGCATTGACCTATTAATCATTTGACCAATTACTTAGTTTTAACTTGTTTTCATAGTGTTTTAATTCTGGATTTTAACAAGGTGTTTTTTTTTTTTAATGCCTTCATATTTGTCTGGACTCCTGGCACTGCTTGGATAACATCCCTGGAGTTTTCTTGGCAGGGTTTTTCAGAAGTTGGTTCTCCCTTGCCTTCTCCTTCCCAAGGCTGAGAGGGAGGGGCCGGTCCAGAGTTCACGCAACTGGCTTTTGTGCCTAAGGCAGGGCCATAATTCTTGGTCTTCTGGCTTCTAATCCAGGGCCTTTTTACCACTACTTCAAATTGGCTGTCTAACAGTGCTTATAATTGCCTTTTATTATTTCTGTCAATTCTGTTGAGTGAAACATTACCAAGCCTCAGTGCACATTGGCAATTAGTTGCAAAACAGGGCAGTTTATTTCCTGAACATTTTCCCATGGGGGAAAAAAAAAAGGCAACCTTTGTATGTTCAGGTGTGGTCCATACATTTCTGGAAGTATATTTGCTGATATTTGGGGCTCTGTTCCTGAACAAGACCACACTTGGAATTCTGGATCCAGTTTTGGTCACCATCTTACAGAAAAGTTGTTGGGAATCTAGAGAGAGTGCGGAAAAACAGCAACAAAGATAATTAGTGGGCTGGAGGCAAAATTGCATGATGAACAAGTGAGAGGATTAGGTATGTTTAGTCTAAAAAGAGAAGGATCAGAGGTGACGTGATAGCAGTCTTCCAATCTCTCAGGGGCTGCCCCAAAGAAGACGGAGTCAAGCTATTGTCCAAAGCACCTGAGGGCAGGACAAGAAGCAATGGGTGGAAACTGATCAAGGAGAGAAGCAACTCTCTCTTCTCTTCTACTCTACTCTTCCCTAGAACTAAGAAATTTCCTGACAGTTAGAACAATTAACCAGTGGAACAACTTGTCTTCAGAAGTTGTGGATGCTCCAACACTGGAGGTTAAGAGATTGAACAGCCATTTGTTTGAAAAGATATAGGGTCTTCTGCTTAAGTGGAGGGTTGGACTAGAAGACCTCCAAAGTCCCTTCTGAATCTATTCGTCTGTATTCTGCAAGTTGCACGGATGGTAAAATATGCTCGTAGTTTAAGAGGAAGTGGAAAGCTTTCTTTCTGTCACTTGTTTTGACCGAGGGAAGGGTCTTCTTTTCCTAGAGCTGAAATACAGGGACACTCTGATGCGCTTCGATTACTTTTGGCTGCGGGACCACTGCCGCTCGCCGTCTTGCTACAACACCAAGACCAACCAACGCAGTCTGGATACGGCCAGTGTGGATCTCACGATCAAGCCCCAGGCGGTACGAGTCGATGAGACCACGCTCTTTCTCACCTGTGAGTTTCTGGAGTTTTGTGTCTCCAAAGGCAGAGGGGGAGATGCTTCTGGAGAATGCTTCTCTCTTTCTCTCTCCCTCTCTTCTCTCTCTTTCTCTCCCTCTCCTCTCTCTCTTTCTCTTCTCTCTCTCCCTTTCCTCTCCTTTCTCTTCTCTTCTCTTCTCTCTTTGGTCCTCTCTCTCTTTTCCTTTCCTCTCTCTCTCTTCTCTTCGCTCTCTCCCCTCTTTATTTCCCCTCTCCTTTCTTTTCTCTTCTCTCTCTTCTCTCCTTTCTCTCTTTCCCTCTCCTCTCTCTCTTTCTCTCCCTCTCCTCTCTCTCTTTCTCTTTTCTCTCTCTCCCTTTCCTCTCCTTTCTCTTCTCTTCTCTTCTCTTCTCTTCTCTTCTCTTCTCTTCTCTTGTCTTCTCCCTTTGGTCCTCTCTCTCTTTTCCTCTCCTCTCTCTCTCTCCTCTCTTCTCTCTCTCCTCTCTTTATTTCCCTTTCTTCTCCTTTCTTTTCTCTCCTCTCTCCTCTCCCCCCCCCCCTCATGTGCGTGAGTTTGTGTTTGTGTTTATAGCAAAAGTAAAGTTGTTGGAACATTCAAATGTGCTTGGAGATTTTGTTCAAGATGAAAGTGGAGGGGGAGAAAAACACTCTAGTTGGTGAATAATTTAGAGAAGGAATTATTCTGTTCTCATGGATTCTTTCCTTCCTTCTTTGGCCGTTCAATTGACCCTGAACTCAGTAGTTTGTTCAGGAACCCACATGGAGCCCGCAAAACGGATCTTCTGCAATCCCAGACCTCCTGACTGGATAGGGCTAAGCATTTTAGCTGTTTGGGGAGGAGGATTTTGGAGAAGTTTGGGGGACACATTGCACCCATTAAACCCCCATCTCCCTGGTAAAGAATCGAGACCTTTTTTTCTTTTTAAACAATCCCAAAATGTGCTAACCAAGTTTACAAGGGCTACTAACCTAGTTTACAAGAAGCAAAACCAAGCCACTTGAGAACTTAGTGCAGGGGTCCCCAAACGTGGCAACTTGAAGACTTGTGGACTTCAACTCCCAGAATTCTCCAGCCAGCATAGAATTCTGGGAGTTGAAGTCCACAAGTCTTCAAGTTGCCACATTTGGAGACCTCTGGCTTAGTGGTACAAGACCCATGTTTTGAAGAACGTTCCCATAATCCTGTCTAACGTCAACTCATAAAACATTCCTATGCCTGGCAGTGCCAGTATGTCGCCTCTAATAAATCCTTTCAAGTTTTTTGAAGTTTGGCTCGAGAATCATGATTTCATTAGTGCGATTGCTGGAATCCAGACCTCTGTCTCCCTCTCGCCACCAGGGCCAGATGGCCACGTGACCAAGTATGGTCTGGAATGGCTGATGATGAACAGCTACGAGGGACAGAAGCAGCAGGTCATGCAACCCCGGATCCTGTGGAACGCTGACATTTACCAGGAAGCTCAAGTGCCCTCCGTCGACTATCGCAGTTTCTTGGAAACCAATGAGGGGCTGAGAGAATTCCTGCAGAACTTCCTGCTATACGGCATTGCATTCGTGGAAAACGTTCCCCCGACCAAAGAGGACACGGAAATCATAGCAGAGAGGATTAGTTTGATCAGGTAACTACGAAACATTGGAATAGAATAAGGATAAGGATAGAATAAGAATAAGAATACAATAGAATAATAACTAGGATAGGATAGGATAGGATAGGATAGGATATTGGAATGAGAGAATAGAAATAGGATAGGATAGGATAGGATAGGATAGGATAGGATAGGATAGGATAGGATATTGGAATGAGAGAATAGAAATAGGATAGGATAGGATAGGATATTGGAATGAGAGAATAGAAATAGAATAGAATAGAATAGAATAGAATAGAATAGAATAGAATAGAATAGAATAGAATAGAATAGAATAATAACAATAGAATAGAATAAGAATTAGAATAGAATAAGAATAGAATAGAATAGAATAGAATAGAATAGAATAGAATAGAATAGAATAGAATAATAACAATAGAATAGAATAACAGAATAGAATAAGAATAGAATATAGAATAGAATAGAATAGAATAATAATAAAATAGAATAATAAGAATAGAATAGAATAAGAATAGAATAGAATTAGAATAGAATAGAATAGAATAGAATAGAATAGAATAGAATAGAATAGTTGGAAGGTACCTTTGAGGTCTTCTAGTCCAACCCCCTGCTTAGGCAGGAAACCCTACACCACTTCAGATAAATGGTTATTCAGCATCTTTTTAAAATCTTCCAGGGTTGGACCATTGACAACTTCTGGAGGGCAAGTTGTTCCACTGGTTAATGCTTCTCACTGTTTGGATGTTTCGCCTTAATTCCGGGTTGCTTCTCTCCTTGATTAGTTTCCATCCATTGTTTCCTGTCCTGCCCTCTGGTGCTTTGGAGAATAAGTTGCCCCTCCCTCTCCTTTGGGGCAGCCCCTCAAATGCTGGAATGCTGCTCTCATGTCTCCCCTAGTCCTTCTTTTCTCCAGACTGGCTTTACGCAAATCCTGCAACTGTTCTTCATCTGTTTTGGTCTCCAGGCCTTTAATCATCCTAGTTTTTCTTCTTTGCACTTTTTCCAAAGTCTCAACATCTTTTTTTTTTTAGCCTAAAATTTCTGTTGCTAAGCAAGGCGTTTGTTAAGTGAGTGGTGCCCCATTTTACAACCTTATTGTCACGGTTGTTAAGCGAATTATTAAAGTTGTTAAGTGAATCATGCCGTCATTAAGCGAATCTGGCTTCTTCCATTAACTTTGCTTGTCAGAAACTCCCTAGGAAGGTTGCAAGTGACAATCCAGGATGCTGCAACCATTGTACATACAAGCTAGTTGCTAAGAACCAGAAATTGGATGATGTGACTGTGGGGATACTACAATGGTTACAAGGGTGAGAACTGGTCACAAGTCACTTTTTTCAGTGCTGTTGTAACTTTGAACAGTTATTAAACCAACGGTGGTAAGGGCTACCTTTGAATAGAATAGAAGCTGGGAGGGACCTTGGAGGTCTTCTAGTCCAGCCCCCTGCTCAACAGGAGAACCTATACCATCTCAGACAAGTGACTGTCCAGTGTCTTCTTAAAAACCTCCAGTATAAAGCACCCACAACTTCTGAAGGCAACTTCTGTTCCACTGGTTAATTGTCCTCACTGTTAGGAAGTTTCTCCTTAATTCCTGATTGCTTCTGTCCTTGGTTGGTTTCCACCCATTGCTTCTTGTCCTGCCCTCTGGTGCTTTGGAGAATAATTTGACCCCCTCTTCTTTGTGGCAGCCCCTGAAATATTGGAACACTGGTCTCATGTCACCCCTAATTCTTCTTTTCATTAGATTAGCCAAACCCCAAACCTGCAGCCATTCTTTATGTCTTTTAGTCTCCAGGCCTTTGATCTTCTTAGTTGCTTTTCTTCGAACTTTTTAATTCTCTGTTTGAACTTGCTGAGCAGAAATATGAGAGTTCCTCCCCGAGATAATCTTTACTGCACCCTTTCTTCCTGGTTTCCTATCTTGAAACGATTCTGTCTTTAGAAAGCAGGTATTTCTCCCTTCTGAATTTTCACCTTAGCAAATCGCCTCCTGCACTATATCTGTACCACCAATTGTTTCTAGAGCCTCTTCTGAATTATAATTCTGTTATTTCTCTTCTGCTTAAATATACTGCCAGATTTGTTTGTTTTTGCTAAGAATAGAATAGAACAGAACAGAACAGAACAGAACAGAACAGAACAGAATAGAATAGAATAGAATAGAATAGAATAGAATTCTTTATTGGCCAAGTGTGGTTGGACACACAAGGAATTTGTCTTGGTGCAAATGCTCTCAGTATACATAAAAGAAAAGATTTGTCAAGAATCATAAGATATTAAAGTCTACCGTTTGCAGGCTAGTAGTGCGCAGTTCTAGCAAAAATCTAGTTTTTCTGAAAGGCAGTAAAAGACCTTCAGCGAAAAATAAAAGAAGCAAGATCTTGTGGTAGGGTGGCCCTGTTTCCTGTTTTGACAGAGCGGATTGAAAGGGCAGCCTTAAGTCCTGGGAGATCTGAAGATCAAAACAGTTCTCTCTGCTAGGGAGGAAAGGGCAAAGAAACACATCCCACACATCTAATTAAAATTAAATTGCCAGGCTGACCTTGAATTGACCAGGCGTCTTAAGAAAAAGGGATTTGCAAGGGTTCCTTGCTCCTTTCTTCTCCTTCTCTGCCCAGATTGCTAACCCTTAGCCTAAATTATTTCGAAAAAGGCTTTTTTTTTTCTTTTAATCTGGGAATTTCCAAAATGCATCACGCTGGCATTAAGTGCAAATGTTTGCTTCTCCAAGTTCAGAACCGTTGCCTTTTCAAATATCTCAATCTATTCTAGCAGATTACAGTAGATTTCTGCTTATACCTGCTTTTTTTTTTTTTAAGGATTTCCCCTTGCATTTGAATGAAAGATAACGCTGATTTGCAAACAAAGTACATATAGTGGGTTAGTTAAAAAAAAAAAATCACATTTAAACCGCAATGACTTTAATCTCTGAGTAATAAGGATAACAGCAATGAGGTATCTCAAACCATTGCCCCAGGTCTATTCATTGAGAAGCAATGTCTGGTGTTGCATTGTGGGTGTGTAACTTGCTATAGCAAGCCATTCAGAAGAGTGACAAGAACCCCTGATCATTGATAAACACAATTAAAGAGATTCATCTGACTTACCTGCAGTTCTGTCAGTTCAGGTAATCCTCGACCATAATTGAGTCTAACACTTCTGTTGCTAAGCGGGATGTTTGTTAAGTGAATTTGCCTCTTTTTGCAAGCTTTCTTGCCACACTTGTTAAGTGAATCACTGCAGTTGTTAAGTGAGTAACACAGTTGTTCAGTGAATCTGGTTTCCCCATTGACTTTGTTTAGGAGAAAGTTGCAAAAGGGGGGGTCACGTGACCGAGGGCTGGGCTTCAAAAATTTTAGCAACGGGTTCTTTGCCCAGTTGCTGGGTGGACATGTCCATGGTGGGCGTGGCCTAATCAGCCTCCTGCACTACCGGAAGGGGGGGCATTTTTGCCCTCTCTGGGCTGTGGAAGCTTTCCTCGAGCCTCCAGGAGGGCAAAAACGGCCTCTCTGGGCTCCAGAAGTTCTGTGAGATGACCCAAAGGGGCGTGGCACAAAGGCAAGACAAGTCAGCTAATCAGTAGGAGTCCTTTATTAGCTCCAACTTTGCCCCAATGTCCTGGTTACCTTCTGAGCTGGAGAAAAATTCTCCCAGGAACAGCCTTTGGCTGCAGAGAATCAAGTCCAAAACATGGTCAACACAAATGGTAACTATAAGTCCAATGAAAGCAAATTGAGGTAATTAGTCTGGCAGGGCAGGAGAAGGAACGGTAGTAATTCAACACGGGAGGATGCCAGGAATGCAGATAACTAAAGTCAACACAAGATAAACTCACGTTTGCTCCCAGCAGCTGCCACACTCAGCATGCATCTCTTTTAAACTCTCTTCCCAGCTGTGGCTCATGAAAGGAATCAGGGCCCTTTCCTCCCCCGTAAGCCACACGACCCACATTGCTCTCTTCTCCATTCCTCCCAGCATGCCCTAGGATGAAGAGGAGGTGGGCCTGTGTCTTCCTCTGAACTCCCTCTCCCTTGTTCTACCTCTCCCCTGCTCTGAACAGCCAGACTTTGCCCTTCCCCAGTTTCCTCCACAGCCAATGGAGCCACACTCCCACTCCCTATCAGCTGTTCGCCTTCCTCCTCGGATTCAGACTCCGACAGGGGCGTGACACTCTCTGGAAGCTGGAAAGGGGCCCATTTCCAGCCTTCCCGAACTTCCGTGAGGGCCGTTTTTCACCCTCCCTGAGCCTCCAAGCGTTCCCTGCACTTACCTACATCCAAAATGGCCATGTGGGGACTCCTGGGAGGGGAGGGGAGGGGAGGGGAGGGTGGGGCCAGCCAGGAGTGGGATTTGGGGATTCTCCAAACTGCCCAGAATCTTAGCTAGGGGCTCTCTTGAACCCCTGCAAACCCCTAGCAGACAAACCCCTGCGCGTGACCCCCGAGGATGGTTTAACCATCATAAATATGAGTCAGTTGCCAAGCGTCCGAATTTTGATCAGGTGTGACCATGGGAAGGCCGCAGTGATCATAAATGTGGGGAAACGGCCCTAAGCCACTTTTTCCAGGGCTGCGGTAACTTTGAACTGTCACTAAGTGAACTGTTGTAAATCAAGGAACACCTGTACTGTATAATAGCCCACCCTTCAGGACTGAAACAGCTGGAATCATTCCTGGCCAAAGGAAGACAAGTCCTGTGTTTCCAGATGTTACTGTGAACTGGAATAGTTTCACGGACAATTATGCTTTTGATTTTATCCGGAAGATCCCCACTTTGTAGGAAGAGTTGGTGTCCAGATGGATCTTGACAGACTTGAACACTGGGCCCTGTCTAACAAAATGAAATTTAATGTAGAGAAAAGTCAAGTTCTACACTTAGACAAGAAAAACCAAAAGTACACACATGGACTGGGTGAAACCAGGCTCAATAGCAAGAACTGTGAGAGGGATCTTGGAGTCTTAGTGGACAACTAGCTAAATATGGGACAGCAGTGTGTGACTGTAGCCAAAAAAGCCAATTCAATCCTAAGTTGCATTAACAGAGGGATACAATCAAGATCAAGTGAGGTATTAATACCGCTCTATAAAGCCTTAGTAAGACCACACCTAGAGTAATGCATCCAGTTTTGGTCACCACACTATTAAAAAGATGTTGGGGCTCTAGAAAAAGTGCAGAGAAGAGCAACCAAGATGATTAGGGGACTGGTGGCTAAAAAATACGATGAACGGTTTCAGGAACCAAGCATGGCTAGTCTAGTGAAGAGAAGGACCAAGGGGACAGGAGAGCAGTCTTCCAATATTTGAGGGCCTGCCACAGAGAGGAGGAAGGGGTCAAGCTATTTTCCAAAGCACCCAAAGGCCAGACAAGGAATCATGGATGGAAACTGAATAAGGAGAGAATCAACCTGGAAATGAGGAGAAATTTTCTGACAGTGAGATCATCCAAACCATGGAATAGAAGTTGCCTTCAGAAGTTGTGGGAGCTCCATCACTGGAAGCTTCCAAGAAGAGACTGGACTGCCATCAGTCAGAAATGGTGTAGGGTCTCCTGCTTGGGCAAGGGGTTGACCTAGATGACCTACAAGGTCCCTTCCAGCTCTGTAAAATTCAGTATTGGTTCTCTCTCTGTTTCTCTGCCACCGTCTCTCATTTTTTGTTTCCTTTTCCTCTAGAGAAACTATTTATGGCAGGATGTGGTATTTCACCTCTGACTTCTCCCGTGGAGATACTGCATACACCAAACTGGCTTTGGACCGTCATACAGATACCACTTACTTTCAGGAACCTTGTGGGTATGAACCAATTTGCCAAAGAGGCAGAACACCGCAAATAAGATGACTGTAGCTGGTGGTATGGGCCATTCTGACACGGTTATCTCATAGTGCCTCTCCTGTCTTGAGAAACATTGCTCAGGAGTCAGGCACTGGAACCTCAAAATGTTTTGCAGACCTCAAACTGAATCATATGGGTACTGTTTATTTTGTGGGAGCCCCGGTGCTCGGTTTTCTGACCTAGGCTTCCCCCAAAATCACAAAGCAGACTCTTTGTCCCGGCAAAACCCTTTTTATTAAACGAAGGTGAATTTCTTGCATTGACCTTCAGCCAAAGGCCTGGCAAACAGTCTGTCAAGGGTGTAATTAGGAGCACAGACCTTATCTAGCTTGGAGAGCTGCCAAGTAAATGTTTTCAAGCGCAGTGCTGACAAGGAAGGACACAGCACAGAGTCTCTGAGATGCACAGGAAGATCTTCACAATGATGGAATGAACCAATTATTGTCCTGCAAAAGCCCCGTCCCCTTTTGCTCCTCTTTTAATCCCTATGGGAGGGGCCATTCACCATTCACCTGTGGCCTTACTCCCACGTTGACCCTTAGTTCGTAATTGTTCTTTCCTTCTGGCAGCTCTGTGCATGCACAGGCTGGGAACCGGCTCCAGCTACTCCCCCGCCTCACTGCTGTCTGAGCCCAAAGGCAGCTGATGACTGCCAGACTGCCCTGACCCCATCTCTGCCTCTGACGCAGAACCCTTGTCTGAGACTTCCTCAGCCTCCAGGATTGGCCCAGGTTCCTCCCCAAACACCTCACTGTCCGACTCTGCTGCCAGCTCCGCTAGCCACCGGCACCGGGCCACAACATTTAGGTTGTGTCCTTGCAGATATTTCATTATCCAACTAGGTAACCTCATCAGTGCTAGAAGGGAGTGAGGTTTCCTTTCCTTTCACATACAAGTGGCTTGATCTGCCATTGGTATGGCAGTTCCTTGATGGGGTATTGTTTACTTCCTGATTGTTGGTCTAATATTGTTGACCTGGTATTAATCAACATCCAGATAAGCAGAGATTAATTATTTGTGTATTCGATTTCTGTGGCCAGCCATCTCTGTCAATGACTCTGAGTGGATCTCGGTCAATGACCCTGGTGATTAACAGCAAGAGGAATGCTAGATCAACTCAGGCAAGCAATCAAACAGTAAACAACAGCTTCATCGAGGAATCACTAAGAACATTTCCACCAAGAGCGGCTTAGCAACTAAAATGTTGGGCTCAGTTGTGCTTGTGAGTCCAGCATTACCTGTATAGCATCTACAGAGGCCATGCAGTCACTGATATACAACACTAATAAAGCACATTAGACATACAAACACAAATATAAGTTTAAACGAAACATCAGCAAATACATGTACCTGAAGTGTGTGCAGAATACGACGGATGAGGGAGTAGAATAGAGTAAATTAGAAATAGAAATAATAAAAATAGAAATAGAAAAGAATAATGGAACAAGAATAGAATAAGAATAATAGGGTTGTATCTCCTTTTCCGAGACTGGTGGCCAAGGGGGAGAGTAATAGGCTAGGACAGGACAGGACAGAATAGAATAACAGAGTTGAAAGGAACCTTAGAGGTCTTCTAGTCCAACCCCCTGCCCAGGCAGGAAACATCTATCCCATTTCAGACAAATTTTAGACATATTAGAGTAAAAAATAAAATGCCACAACATGGTACCACAGTAGGATAGATGTTATAGTCAGCTAGATAGATGGATGGATGGATGGATGGATGGATGGATGGATGGAGAGAGAGAGAGAGATGGTAGACAGACAGACAGACATCTAAGGAAGCTAAGCCATCTAACTTCTAATTCCAATGCAGGATAACGTACCAGAGTAGAGACATCATCAATCTAGTATTTCAAGATTGCAAGAATAATTTTGAAGAAGACTCTTTGGAGCAATTTCGTCCCTTCTGGCTTCTGCCCTTTCCAGACTTCCACTCCTACAACTAACTGAGTGTTTCTTCTCAGCATCCAGGTATTCCATTGCCTCCGGCATGAAGGCACGGGGGGCCGGACGCTTCTGGTGGACGGTTTCTATGCCGCGGAACAAGTGCTCCAGCGAGCACCAGAGGATTTCGACCTTCTGACGAAGGTGCCACTGAGGCACGAATACATCGAGAACATGGGAAGCTGCCGCAACCATATGATTGGGGTTGGGCCTGTCTTGAATATCTACCCCTGGAACAAGGAGCTCTACCTGATCAGGTGAGGGGGGTGGCCTTATCCTAAGACTTGCCTTCATTGGGACATCGCATTTTAAGTCAGCGGTCCCCCACTTTTCCAGCTTTCAAGACGAATTCCTTGCGTGTTCAATCACACTTGGCCAATAAAGAATTCTATTCTATTCTATTCTATTCTATTCTATTCTATTCTATTCTATTCTATTCTATTCTATTCTTCATTCCATTCTGTTGTGTTCTGTTCTATTCTATTCTTATTCCATTCTACTCTATTCTTATTCTACTCTACTCTACTCTACTCTACTCTACTCTATTCATTCTTCATTCCATTATTCTGTTCTATTCTATTCATTCTGTGGCCTGGGGGTTGAGGACCCCTGCTTTAAGCCATAGCAGAATCCACTTGTTCCTGGCTCAGTCTATGATGTGAATCTACCTGATGTGAATCATCGCTTATGGATTGCTACCTATTGTTCTGACAAAGGCTTCCGAGACCGTAATTATGCACAGGCTTATTTTAAAAACAAGTCTTGTTTTATTGCAATGCTGGGAATTATTTTCATTCCCAGCTGGTAATGAATCTCAAACAGTCCCTAGAGATAAGTGCCCCACTTTCTTTCCTGTGAAGTGCTGCCAATAACAGAAGTGTCAAATGAACTAGGAAAAAAAACCCAACCAAAGTACAAAGAGCTTCAAGAATGAATCTGAACTGAACGAACGACTTTGCTTCCTGCAAAGGTTTCATCAACTTTGCCTGTCCTTTATCCCTTAGGGGAGGGTCAATCACTTCCCAGCCTTACTCCCGAGTCACCCTTTTGTCTCAGCTGCTCTCACCTTCTAGCAGCTCTGCGCACACGCACACTGGGAACAGGCTCCCCTGGTTCTTCTGCTTTGCTGCTGCCAGACTCCTGTGGCTCCAGAGTCAGCCCCCCACTCCCAGATGGTCCTGGCTCCATCTCTGCATCGGATGCAGGACTCTCATCCGAGTCCTCTCCAGACTCCCGGACTGATCCCCGTTCTTCCCCACTGTCTGATTCTGCTGCCATCTGCACAGGCTGCCGGCGAACCACAACATCTATGAACCTGGTTCACAATGGGTTAAGCCGACTGGGGGGACTGACTGTGATGTATAAAACCAGCTTGATCATGGTTGGGCAATGATGGTTGAAATCACTTCTCTGTAAGGGTTCAGCAACAGTGATTATCACTAGCAGGGACTCTTCCAACCGAGTGCATTTGACTAGTCTTCTGTTTCTTCTTCAGGTACAATAATTACGACCGAGCTGTCATTAACACAGTGCCTCATGAAACTGTGCACCGTTGGTACATCGCACACCGCACACTCACCACTGAGTTGCGGAGGCCAGAGAATGAGCTCTGGGTCAAACTGAAACCAGGCAAAGTAAGTTAAAAGGTGGCTTGTTGGGAGAAGCTGGCTAAGACTCATTTGGCCCCTTAAAACTCCCGCAACCCTTCCCTCCCCCAAAACACCAGGTTCCTGCCCTGTTTACTTTTGGGAGCGCAGCCTTCAATGCACCACGTTCTCACACCCACAGCTGTTGCAACATCCCTGCTGTTGCATGATCAGAATCCAGGCACTTGGCAACTGGCAGGTTGCTGGGTGTCATAAAATATTTCTATGGTCTTTTTAGAGTTGCCAACAGAAAAGGAGGGGGGAGCAGTGCGGCAGCTTGGAAATTGAAAGTACATTCCATAAATAGTTTTCAAAGATAGTAACTAGGTGACTGAAGTTTATGCCACGCAAAACTCTAACTGGAGAACATGATTGATGACTTTTGGCTATGGATGTGTCCCATTGGAGAATATGAATTATGATACACCCAGAGGGTGGGGGAAAACCAGGGTCAACCACATCCGTGCTAACTGTTTCCAGCTCTAGGGGGCGGTGCTCATCTTCGTTTCAAAGCTGAAGAGTCAGCGCTGTCCGAAGACGTCTCCATGGTCATGTGGCCGGCATGACTAAACACCGAAGGCACACGGAACACTGTTACCTTCCCACCAAAGTGGTCCCTATTTTTCTTACTTGCATTTTTTACGTGCTTTCGAACTGCTAGGTTGGCAGAAGCTGGGAGAAGTAACGGGAGCTCACTCCGATATATGGCGCTAGGGATTCGAACCGCCGAACTGCCGACCTTTCTGATTGACAAGCTCAGCGTCTTAGCCCCTGAGCCACCATGACCCTTTGACTATCTACCTAGCCTTCCTCATTTGGCTTCTTTTTGTTCCTTCTGTAGGCCCTCTTTGTGGACAATTGGCGAGTGCTGCACGGCCGAGAATCTTTCACAGGATATCGCCAGCTCTGCGGTTGCTACCTCACGAGAGATGATGTGCTAAACACAGCCCGTTTCCTTGGCCTTCAAGCCTAGGCTGGCTTGTACCTCCGATGGTCGGGAGCTGCTGATTCGTGAATGGAGAGAAAAAAGTGTTTACCTCACACCTCACAGGAGGTGTTTACCTCCTGTCCCAAGAGAGAGGAGAGGTCCTCTCAGCATCACTTGAGGTCCATCCAATGTTGTCTACTGCCTTTTCTTCACTCTCCCCGTTCTAAGCTCCCTGATTGGTTCTCCTTGGTTTCCATTGCCCATTGGCTCAACTCAGGTCAGATGGACTTGACAGCCATGTAAGAGACCTGCTCTGACCTCCAAGGTGCTACCTCTGGTGCCTTTTGCTATTGAAAGCAGCCTTGTCCTCTTGAGGAGACCTCCCACATACAAAACCATCAAGATTATACTGGACGTACATTCTTGAAAACGGGTAGAGTCTCAAGGAAAGTTAAGTTAGTTCATTGGCAAGACCTGTTGTCTTTCCAGCCTTTTGAGACTTCCCAGATAGACCGGTACCCAATGCTTGAAGGTTCTTCTTCTCCATGTCTCTTCTCTTTCCTGCCTGCTGGTGATGTAGCCATGTGATGGGGACAGTTGCTTCAGAAAGCCTTAGAGCAGGAGGAAGGAAGAAAACACACAGATCTGAGGAGGGGAGACAATATTAAGTCCCAATTTCCACAGCACTGTAAAAATAATAATGACGATAATGATAAAACTATAGCACTGCATTTCTTTCCAGCTTACTCTGTTGTCCATTCTTCATCTTGGTCATTGCTTCAACTTTCTCCAGAATCTCTTTGCTGTCCGTTCTATGCTGGGAAGAAGCACAATCCAATAATTTCCTTGCTTTGTTTCTTTCCTTTGTTCTTTCCTTCAAAGGACTTTATTGACAACAAGAGGCCATACCTCTCAGAAGCCGCCAACCTTTGTTCTGAACTAAAGCTCCAACCATCAGAAAGAGAGAGAAAGAAAAGATACTTGTTTATTCCTCTTAGCTAGCTGAGTGAAAAGAGTTGCATGTTTTCGCTTTGACTGGCTTTCTTGGTAGCACCAGTCTCTTCAGAAGAAGAGCAAGTGGAGCCTTTAGCTGAAACTGAGATGATTGGGTCAAAGATCTAAGTGGAGGCGTTGCTTCCGCGATCTGCTCTTATCCCCAGATCCTTGAGTTCCTTCACTAGGAACGAGGAATTCTAGATTGTCATTCCTTTTAGAGATGGGTGATGATCATTGCTTGCACCCCTGACTCCCGTTCCTACTGCATCTCTTGAGCAAGACCCAACAGGGATGCTCAGAACCTCTCTAGGAAGCCAAGATATGCCAAGAACAAGAACAAGAAGCAGCCGAAGCCAGCTTTTTGCCTTCAAACCAAATAGAAATTATCTTGGGCTTGAAGTGACATTTTCATTATTAATAACAAAGGATGGAACTCTTTGTCACAACTTGAGATGCAAATTCTGTGGTTGAGTTGGTTTTCCTGGGCCAAACTTCAAAACTAATCAGTGCATGAGTTTAGGAGTAGAAAGAGTGTCTTAGACCCTTTTAGAAGAAATGTTTGTTCGTGGTTGTCATTGGTTGAATCCGTTGGCCCTCGTTGGAACATTTCTGCTAATTAAGGAAAGTCAACCCTCTTTCCTATGTTCAAAGCTGAGCACTTGATCCATTTCAAAAAAACAAGAGCTATTCTTTTTGGTCCTCCAAGAATTATATTGAACATACAAACCTGCTAAGTAAGAAACTCTAGAAAATGAATTTTGCAAGTTCTTATATACATCAGGAAGTAGCTACCATTTTCCTTAGACAGCATTCTGTTCTTTGCAGCTTTCGAATTAAAATAGTGGGAAAACTGGCAAGATTCCTCCAAATCTAGAAGGATACAGTTTGAACCTCGCCAAACTGCAGAAGTCATATTTTGAACTACAACATTTCCAATCTTAAATAGGGGAGCAGGAGAGAGAATGCTTCTCCAAGGAACTAGAGTCGTACATGAACATCAGCAATTTAGGTCTAGTTGAACTTTCTCCCTGAGATGCTCATGTTCTTTAAGGAATATATTTTAGGTTTGCTAGATCATGAAACAGGATTTATCTCATGAGCTCCAAGCTGATGTCTGAAGTCATTTTGCCCAGCTATAGTTTGCTATACCTCATTGAGTTGATGTTCTTTGCAAGAACCAGATCTGTATGCGCTTCTCTCCTTTCTTGCCTGTAGTTTTGGACTTTGTTTTAACTTGATTGATGTAGTAGCACTTTTTGCTCTTAACACTCCTAAGGACTTCTAGACAACTCGACTACTTCTAGTTCAGTTTTTAGCAGCAGAAGATATTTGGTACTCGAGGTCATTCCTAACTTGATTTTCTTAACACTGTATGAGTTTCATCACTACATAGAAGACATCACATGTAGAGGTGGCGCAAATATGATCTTTGGATCAAGACAACTTCTACAGCTGTCTGGTATTTATTAGCTACTAAGTTATATTTACTAACTTCTAAGAAAGTCTTTGCAAAAAAGTACGACTTGGGTTGTGTTTTCGGTATGTTTTGTGGTTTTGTTATAAGTCGCTGAGATCTCTTCATCCTGTCCCTCACATGGCTGCTCATTTGTCACAAGATTGTTATGGTCACCGTTAGCCCTCAAACTTTGTAATTGTTTCCTGTTGCTCTGCTTTTAATTAAAAAAAAAATCAGCAATAAGTGTTTTTCTTATCTTAGAGGAACAGAAAGCTTTGATTCACTAACAAATTAAAAAGATGGAACTTTAGGAAACTCAGAAGAGATGTCTCTGCATACAGGGGTTGAATTAGGCTTCAAAAAAAAATTTTAGGTTTGAAATTTGTACATTCCAAATGTTATGTTGTCAGCGTCAAACTCTGCTTCTTGTCCCTGAGGTTTACAGGTAGTCCTGGATTTATAGCAGTTCATTTAGTGACTGTTCAAAGTTACAATGGCGCTGAAAAATGTGACTTACGACCAGTTTTCACACTTACAACCGTTGTAGCATCCCTACAGTCCCATGATCAAAATTCAGAAGCTTGGCAACTGACTCATATTTATGACGGTTGCAGTGTCCTGGGGTCCTATGATCCCCTTTTGTGACCTTCTGGTGAGCAAAATTAAGGGTGAAGCCGGATTCACTTAACAACGGTGTTACTAACGTAATAGCTGCAGTGATTCGCTTAACAATTGTGGCAAGAAAGGTCATGTAACTCAGCAGCAGAAATTTTGGACTCAACGGTAGTAGGATTATCTGTGTTTATTTATGTATTAAACAGATTTATGTAGCCATTCAATGCATGTCATGGGTGAGTCCAGGAGGCTTATATTTAAGAAGAATTTGTGAGTCTTGGACCCCTAGGACCATGTCAAGAAAAAGTCAGACAACGGAAATCTGGAAAGGTTGCATGTTCTTATTTGTTCTTATTTTCTTTGAAATTCTTTGAATTTCATCTACCTTATCTAATCAAAAAAAATAGGGCTCCATTTTCTCATACCTCTTTCCTGATCTGGTTTCTTCACTGACATTCCATAGAGGTTTGTGTGACATTTAGTTATTAATTTTATTTTCTCTTTCTGTCTCTGTCTCTCTCTCTCTCCTCCTCCTCTTCTCTCCCTCTTTTTGGCCCACATCAGCCCATGTAGAAATCTCCCCAAATTCTTTCTGTGTTGTCAAATTCTGTTTCATTGCAAGCGTGTAGAAGTGGTAGCAAATTCCTAGCTAAAGACTGAGAAGATGGATTGGCATTTGCAGAAGTTCTACAGCTGGTAGATTTTAGGATCGGAGAAGTCTTGAACAGATTAATAAAAACAAAACTTAAGTTCTCTACAAATTGCATGATGAAATGACAGGATTTGAGACAAGCGGTGCCTAAAAGTGGGTAATTTGGAAAGAAAAATTGGTGAACTTTTGGCTCTAAGCCAGGATAGTTAATCTGCCACCAGGAATGATGGTTGGAATGGATGGTTGGGTGGCCCCACTGCCATTGAATTCATTAACATGAAAACCGAATGCAAATCTGAATAGAGCTTTGGGTTTGGAGGGTTTGTCTGTGTGTATATAAGTAAAATTATGGAATTATTCCCACAAGACAACCACAGCATATTAAAGTTAACTATTTCACACAGCTCGGTCCGATCCCAAACTGACATGGATCATTCTCAGTTTATCATTCAGCTACTTCTTCCCAATTTGTGTTTCTGGGTTTGGGGGGTGGTTTTTTAAAAAAAAATATATATCGGAAAATAGATGCAGACTAATGCTCCTTTTAAATTTTCCACAATACTTTAATGCAGCAATGCACCAAAGATATTTTGGATTAACAGATTAACAGAGTTGGAAGGGACCTTGTAGGTCATCTAGTCAAAAAACCTCACCCAAGTAGGAGACCCTACACCATTTCTGACAGATGGCAGTCCACTTTCTTCCTGAAAGCCTCCAGTGATGAAGCTCCTACAACGTCCAAAGGTTGATTGTTCTCACTGTCATAAAATTTCCCTTTATTTCAAGGTTGAATCTCTCCTTGATCAGTTTCCATCCATTATTCCTTGTCTGGCCTTCAGGGGCCTTGGAAAACAGCTTGACCCCTTCCTCCTCTCTGTGGCAGCCCCTCAAATATTGGAAGACTGCTATCCTGTCTCTCCTGGTCCTCGTCTTCACTAGACCAGCCCTACTGAGTACTTGCAACTGTTCATCGTATGTTTTAGCCTCCAGTTGCCTCATCATCTTGCTTGCTCTTCTCTGCAACCTCTGATTATTTAAAACGATGATGCATATCAAACTGGGCCTTATGACCACAATTCTGTTGCTAAGCAAGACAGTTGCTAAGTAAATTTCCCCCCATTTGATAACCTTTCTTGACACAATTGCTAAGCGAATCGCTGCAGTTATTTAACTTATTAACACGGTTGTAAAGAGAATCTGGCTTCCCAGTTGACTTTGCTTAGCAAAAGGAGATCACATGACCCTGGAACATAAATATGTCGTAAATATGAGTCAGTTGCCAAGTGTTTGAATTTTGATCACGTGACTATGGAGATGCTGCAACAGTCGTTAAATATGAAAACTGGCCAAAGCTTGTTTTTTTCAATGCTATTGTAACTTTGGTCACTAAAACTAAACCAAGGACTACCTCTACCCAAGAGTCCTGCCAAGAAAACATGCTTCCAAGCCAGAAATACCCATGGATTCCAAAGACAAAGGTTAGCCCGAGGCCAGCTTTAACCACAAGTTGTTTGCAATAACGTCCATTCAGCATTTTGTTAAAAATAAGAATGGAGTAAGTTCCTCTTAAGGGGTACTGATGTGGAAAGGAAAGTTGGGGTGGGGGAAGTGTGTGCCAACTTAGACCTGGTCATATGGCCTCTCTTTGCAAAAAATAAAAGAGTGAAGCAACTTCAAGCAGCTGGCTCTTATGCATCTCCAAACCACAAAACCCTCCAACCCAGCAAGAAATTTCCTTGCATGCTTGATTCTTGGTGTGAATATCTTGCAGGTGCCCCACCAAGGAGTTTCAAAGGACATCAGCCTCGTCTGGTGAGGTTTTTGCAAAATTTGAGGAACTTCCAACTATAAGCTTGAGAAGCATTTTTCCCCACTAGTCAAGCTATGACCACCAAGGCGTAAAACAGAAACTGATTTACACCTGGTTGTGCTGGTTTATACATTGGAGTGTTAAAGGACATGCGTTCTTTTCAACCAATTCTCCCTGCACATTTTCTTTGTTCTTGTTCTGAACCAAACCCTTTTCCAATAAAACAAACACGAACCAAAGGGAACAGAAACCTTTTAATTATTCTTACCAGTTAAAAGGCCACTGCAAACTAACTTTGATAAGCACAAGCTTCGCCAAAACTGTGCGAGGCTGCCAGGAATAACAGATAGGAAATATTTCACAACACAAAGAGTCTTCAAATACCAACTAAGATACTGCAATGTCCACGAGGCTCGGGTTTCAAAAAGTCTTTGCTTCCTGCAAAGAACATCTGATTCACAGCTGGCTTTTATCTTCTTGAAGGAGGAGCCATTACCTTGCAGCCTTACTCCTGAATCACCCATGCTGCTGCAGCTGCTCTTTCCTACGAGCAACCCTGCTGCATACGCGCACACATGGCACGGGCTCCTCGGGAACCTCCTTATCGCCGCTGCCAGCCTCCACAATCTCTGAAGGCAGCTGTCCACTCCCTAATGGTCCTGGCCCCTCATCTGAGTCCTCGCTCTCCTCAGCCGTCCGCACCTGCTGCTGGCTAACCACAACAGTTCTTTAAAAGCTGTCTGGATTGAAGCTGGACTTAAATCCCCTCACAATTTCAAGCTTGAGTGCCTGTAGGTTACATTAAGCTCTTGTTTGAGATAGGTAATTTACAGTCACCTGTGACCCTGTTTCCCCCTTCCCCCCTGGCTGTCTCATAAATCAGATTCTCCCATTTTGAGCACGTTCCCAGGCTGGGTGTCATCATTCACGTTCTCCAATTCAATATATTCGTGGGCAAAAGCTCTGGTAGTTTAGTTACAATCTTTTAAAGATAAGAGTTGGAATGTACTTTCGCTTTCAAACTGCTGCACAGATCTGCAAACAGCTTCCAGATTTCCTTCCTTCCCTCCCCTCCCCCCCCCTTTTAATGGCAACTACTAAAACAGGCATAGGAATGTTTTATGAGTCGACATCTGTTACCTAGATTAGCCAGCAATCGCTTTTATTTCAGTTTTATTTGTATTTTTGTATTAAATGATCCTGAGACCTTAAGTCTCCGTGCATTTGTGTCAAAGGCCTGGATTGGTTTACACTTAGCTTAATCTGCAGAAACAAAATGAAACAAAACAATATGCCATTTCTTTTATGAAACAAGTGTTTCATAAAAGAAATGGTACGTACACGTACAAAAATAATACAGGTAGCCCTCAACTTACAACAGTTCACTTAGTGGCCATTCAAAGTTACAATGGCACTGAAAAAAATGACTTATGATCGATTTTCACACTTATGCCCGTTGCAGCATCCCCAAGGTCATGTGTTCAAAATTCAGACAATTTGTTAAGATTTGTTAAGTTGTTAAGATTCACTTAACAACTGTGGCAAGAAAGGTTGTAAACCGGGGCAAAATTCACTGAGCAACAGAAATTTTGGTCTCAACTGTGGTTGTAAGTTGAGGATTACCCATACAAACTAGCTAATTCGGTGCCTTTTCCAAAAAGTGTGATGACCCAGGGTGGGATACAAAACAAACACAGTAAAAAAAAAAAACAGGTGAAGCCCCTTTTATTCCTTCAGTTTGCTTCCAAGCTCCGAATATCTTTTGATGGAAGATAAACAAAAACTCTCACACAAAGTTACACAAAGAAGGCAAAAAAGCAACACAAACCAGGCAAGATAAGGGCTATCAAATGTAATTGCTTTCCAGTAAAAATTACCCTGTCCATCAATTTCTCCAAATTCTTTAAACGAAATATCATTTTAAACCAATTTTAATATTGGGATTTTTTTTACAAACAATAATGTTCATCTCATCATCCATAGGATGTCTAACATTCAGCGGCTTCCCCCTTTTTTTAGAAATCCCCAGATCTGACATATAGAAAGACCCAATTCTATTCAATCTCACAATAATTATTGGAAGGTTTTGTTTCCTTCCCTGAGGTGAAGAGAAATGCCTTCCAAGAATGATTGTTCCCATTTAAAGGGTTCCTGTAAGCAA